TTTTTGGAGGTTTCCCCCATTTACGGGGAACGAGGGAAATTTTTACAATTTTTAAGGGTAATGTCTTCGACTAGATACGATTTGTGATCTTTTGACGTAGCGTTGAAAGAAATCGGTTCGGTGAGAGCTGAGAAAAAGTGGTAACAGACACAAAAAAAAAACACATCATAGTAAAACCAATACCTTCTCAGCTTCGCATCGAAGCTAAAAAATATATTATATTAATTTTGTTTGCAATATTTTCAAAATTTTTTTTTATAAATAATTTAAACTGTTTAGTGAAATATCAATGTTATTTAACTCTTATTATAAAAATATATGAGTAAAAATGAGTACCAAACTTTAATATATTATATACACAGCCAGTGCATCTAATACAAATTAATTGAAGCACTAAATTGAGAACTTAATCCAAATTTATAATAAAAATTTATATGCCAGTTCAAGTTCCAATTTTTCATACTTACGTAGTAGGCATCACCATTAAAATAAATAGGATTTTCACCATTTACGGAGAACGAGGGAATTTTTTTAATTTTTGAGGATATTTTTTATGTCTTCGAATAGATACGAGTTGTAATCATTTAACGTATCGTTGAAAGAAATCAGTTCGGTGAGAGCTAAGAAGAAGTGTTAAGAGACACAAAAAAAATACATCATAGTAAAATGAATTAGTAAAAAAAATTAATAAATAAAAAAATCATAATAAAATTAATATTTTTTTAGCACTTTACCTTCGTTGACAAAATTACATTAGGAAGAATGTCAATTGTCGCGAGATCATAACAGCGTTAAATACAAATTAAAAAGTGCTATAACTTTTTAACTATTTTCGGCTTAAATTTTATGTTTGTAAATTCGTTATCAGTTTAAATAAAACGTATTAGTTGAAAAACCTTCAAGGAACTTAAAGAAAAGGCGAGTAACCGGTTAGAATGGAGAATTGGAGTTGTAAACCAACCTTAGAGTTAAAAAAAAAAAAAATTGACAAAATCATCGTAAAAGCTAAACTACATTTATAGGATTATATTATTTGCTCCTCGAATATACAAGGTGATTTTTTTATCATAACCCACTCAATTACTTATATAATAATAATAAATTAATCATTTTTTTTCGATTATCTTCAGTTACACGTCATTCTTGAATTATTAACTATGTAATACTTTTTAAGTTCATCCCTTATTCCTGGTAAGGGTGTCAACTTTGTTTTTTTAAATGGGAACACATATTTTGAATTTAATAAAATGTTTGAGTTTTTAATTTAATAGTATATGGCATTTGAATTTTTCATATAACTTTATTTGTTTCTTAGATATAAACATTTAAAGTTTCAAATTTTTGAGTTAATATACAGGTATAATCCACAAGGGATTACAAATACAGGTAGCTAATTGGATTTTTATGACACCCATATTAGCAGGTACACAGTATTGTTATTATCAATGGTAGTAAGGTACATTGTTGTGAGTTAATAAATACACTAACTGACAATACAAAAAGTATATCTATTGATAGTCATAATTGATAATAAACAATCTGTGACTATGATTTAAAATGTCAGCAATGTCATAAAAAATCAATGAGTCCTGTACGATTATTTATCAGGAAACCAACAGTTTTCCCGTTGAACCTCTTGGGCACCACTTTTGAAAAATGATATTGTAATATTGCGATAGATTTTCAATTTTTGACTGTATAAATAATATTTAAATTTAATTAATAATAATTAAAAATAATTATTTTATTTATTTTTACCACTATACAGTGCGAATAAAATATTCGAATTAATAAGTTTTGAAAAGTTATCACATATTACTCAATTTTTGTAATAATTATAAACAATTTTTATTTATTTTAACCAGAATCACTATCAACAAATACAAATTAAGTATTGATAGTGAGATTTAAACTTTATTTAATGAGTAATGAACTAAAATAAAAGTGTACTCTTACCCCATTTATAGGATAAAAGTACAGTTAGTATTGAACACCAAACCAAATCAAAATATTTTCTTTAAATTACACGCTCAAAAATATATGTGAAAATATTATGCCATTACGCAACATTGATAAATAAAACTATTTTATATCCAAATCAAATAAAAATTCAAGTTTTAATAAACACAATATAGTATTCTATAAAAGTAAAAGATAACTTAAAAGTATAAATAATTTTTAATATTTAGACGTATTGCTGATCAAAATCTGATTAGTAATAGTAGAGTACTTAATAAACAAACAAAAAAAAACGATACAGCAAAACTTTCTTAGCTACATATTGAAGCAAAATTATTTAAAATATTTCCTCTGTATTCATGTTAGTTGAGATTATTCCAACGCTATAAAATAAATATTTGAGGAAATTTTCGTGTTTAATTACTTTAAAACTAAATCAATTCAATGTAACTTATTTAAAAGAAAAAAAAATAATACTCTATGGTTGTCTCATTTATTAAAACCGCATATCTAGATTTTTCGAACATATTCAGATGGAGGAT